ATCCTCACTTGGACTATTTTAAGAAACTTCTCAGTGGACTCCCGTCTTAAAGTCACCTCCACATTGCAAATGAGAGTGATCATCCCATATGAACATCTAAGAAATGAAGTTCATGTTCCTGATCTCAGCATCTATCTGGCCTTCAACTCCCCTTTAGTGCTCTTCCCCAATATCCTATTAATCTGGGATTGTTTAGGACTATATTACTGTTTGGCTCAACTGAACAAATATGCAGAGTTTTGGTTTTTGAATAATAGAGTAATACTTGCCCCTCTAGAGCATGTATAACTTATAGTTTCAAATTTACTATGAAATTAAGTCTTTTAAAACACTTCTTATGGAAGCAAAAGTCATTTTTTTTTTCCCTTTTTTGTCTTTTTTCGTGACCGGCAACGGATTGCAACCCTCAGTGTCGCGCCCGTACCGGACCGGGACCGACAACAGGATCGCAATCCTCGGTGTTGCACCCGCACCTCGCTCAGCCAGTGAGCGGCCGGTCTGTATGTGGGATCTGAACCCTCGGCAGGAGCACCACCGCGCTCCCAAGCGGCGCACTGTAGCAGTGCGCCACCGGGCTGGCCCAAAAGTCATTTTTAAAGAAGAAATAATCCTCCCTTAAGAAATCAGAGATGAAAAAAAGTTTTTTAAAGTCCACCATCTTTTTGCATTTTAATCAAGAATTGAGTTGTTCCATTTCTATTCTTTTTCTTCACTATAGCAGTTGCCATCAGAAGTCTTCCTAAGCAGTGGAGGATGGCGTATGAGTCAGGATCTAATCAGGGAAACAGGCATCAGTCTGTGTTAACTCAGGGACCTGGTTAGATAGGTGACAGAAGAGCTGAGAAGCCAGAGTGCTATGAGTGAACTGCAGGCAGCCTCTACCTGGCCCAGGTTAGAAGGATAAGGGAGGAGATGATGTTGCTGGAGCTCAGGGTCACCCAAAGTGGGTAAGCCTTAGGTGAGATGCTGCAGCTTGGAAAGATGCTGCTCAACAGAGATAAAGGTCTCCCAAGTTGATGAGACAGGGCTGAGAGTCTGGGAAGCAAGGAGTACCAGGGTCGAGTGAGCCACAAAGAGAGAGAGCTGTAGAGATCTGCAGAGGGTTCCCCTCGTGTCTTCATTTGGTAACTGATCAACCCATGCATGTGAGGAACCTACCAGAGGCCAGAGAAAAAAGCCACCTGAAAGAACTAGAAGAACAATCTCCAAAGCTTACACAAATATGCAGCATGAGCTAGAAAGACAGAAAGAAATGCCCTGGGTTTTTTCCCCTGCTTCCCTCCCTCTAATCCTCCTCTCACCTATGCCTCTGATTAGCTTCGTGGTTCTCAACCTTGTCTGCACACTGGAACCAACTGGGGAGCTTTAAAAAGTTAGAATGTCTGGGTACACCCCTAGTGTCTGATGTAATTAGTCTGCATGCAGCCTGGGCATTTGGAGCTTTAAAGCTCTCCTGGTGAGTCTAATGATTAAGAACCAATACATTAGCTGACTCCAGGCAGAAGACATAAGACCAGATCCTGGGGAACACACCCTGCAGAAATCAGTGCCCTTCCATACAGGGCAGTGAGAAGAGCTGAGATCCTGCAGGCCCAGGAACAACAAAGATGGCACAGAGATGGGTAGAAACAAGGGAGACTCAAAGCAGCAAAAAAGATACACATGATCCTTTCTAAATCCTTCAGTGGCCAGCTCAAATTGATCATCCCAGCTGCAGAGCTTCCTCCCACTCATAATACTTACTGCTATTCATCCACCGACAATACGTTTATCATGTGCCACTGCCCTATGTCCTCAGCTGAGTTGAAGCCCAGTATCTTGCTATCTGTTCTGGCTCTTCCTGCAGTGCCCTAGCAGGAAAGCCTGGTGTTCCTCATCTTGCTATTTGCATCTTGTATTTCCTTCTTTCCCAAACTGACTGGCTAGCTCATTCAGATATTTACTTGCTATTAAGTAGTAGTTAACGGTTAATAACAGGTAATATATTACCCTCTCTGGATAATATTGGCATGGCAAAACTGACCTAGAGTGTAAGAATTACAGGGCAAAGTCACAGATTGATTAAGTAGATTTTTGTGTGTCCCTTATAATGTAAATAAATTTAAATCAAATAACATAGGTGGCAGCCTAACATTGGATGGTAATGATTCAAAAATATACAAATGATTTATTGCAATTTATTTTTGTTACAATCCTACTCATGGGTGTTGAGATGTTCAGCAAGGTGAATATATCCTTAAAATACATTTATATCTCTTGTGAATCATCTTTAAGTAAATAAGCCTAGAAATGTACTTGCTGTAAATTCTAAAGTCTTATGATTTCAAATCAAAAGAAATTAATTTTTATTGGAAACATTAAGCATTATTCTATTTGCCTGAGAAAGTCACTTTCCAGAGTAGAACAAAATCCATGCTCAAAATCAGAAATCATTTACTGTGTATGTGTGTGTTTGTGTGTGTGTGTGTATTTGGACTCATAGGTTATTCCCTGAAAAACTGGGCCCAAATTGTGGAAAGTTAAAATACTAAATGGTTCAACACTGGACATGCTTTTTTAAGAATTGTTTTCTGCTATGAATTTTTCCTATTATGAATCTATATATGAACTTGTGAAAATCCACTTCTGACTACATTACAATATTTACAATTTGAGGGTGGGGGCAATGCAGCTGGCTGGTACAGGGATTGAACTCTGGACCTTAGTGTTATCAGCATCAAGCTTTAACCAACTGAGCTAACCAGCCAGCTGATATTTACAATTTTTATGGTTGTGCTGACTCTTAAAACTCCTAACAGGATAGTCATGGACTACTGGAAAAAATGTACATGCACACGTAAGGGCCACAGCTAAATCTCTCTTTATGATCCCATGAGTAATACATTAGGAGTAAGAATTCATAGAAAGATAATTTCTCTTCATCAACTATTTAATATATGATATTCTTCCAGTGAAAAATTTAAGCTGTCATCACTACTTTTAAACTACAAAATCTCAACCACCACCACCTGATTGGGCTCCCAAAATACTCATCAAAAGAAACATATCCATTCTACCTGGGTATGTGAACATAATCTCACTTTAGCTATCAGATTCTTTTAAAAATCCTTAAAATAATTAATACATCTTAATGAAAATAATTAAAATTCAAAAGCGGTAAATGACCACATATGGATGGAATTCCAGTAGGCTTTCGGGAGCAACAATGTGACTAAAAGAGCAATCATCTCCCATAACGTCATTAAATAAGACAGGGGAGATGCTTTTTGTACATAAAACCAGAAAATTAAGGTTAAGTGAACCGTAGGGATTTAAATAATGAGTAATACTACTCAGGAAAGAAAAACACAGTGTAAGCTTATGTAATTACCAAAAGTAGCAGTAAACCCTGTAGGATTTTATCATGAAAATATATAGCTTGGACAAAAGGTAGACGAGAACTGTCTATTCTTAGCATGTGAGAAGAACCTAACAATTTCTTTGAAAATAGATTCTAAACACATACTCTGTGCTGAGTCATTGTTCAAAGAACGCTATTGACTTATTAAATAATGACTAGAAACTCCTCCACTCATTGGTAAGACCTAACTGGGTACCTCTTTGGCAATAAATGACAGTGATTTTCAAGATACTACTAACTGCTGTGAGATCTGCTCACACACCCAAGCTGAACAGACGTATCTAATTGATCATGATCAATCCACATGGCTCAGAGAAAGTAAATACAGCCTGGGCAAGGTTAAAGGATGTTCCAAGTCCCTAATATTATACGGCTCTTTTTGAGAATGGTCCCAGTGGATGTGCCCCAAGGATTCTGTGGGTCCGGGAACCATCCACACAGTGCCTGACTCTGTTTAGTGACAACAAAGGGGTCAAAGATTTGAGAAAGAGAAGGAACAGGACACAGCCTCCCAAAGCAAAACCAAACAAACAAGAAAAAGTATTCACAATTGTTTGGAGAAAATGATTCTAGACTTTAAATTAGAAAATATTTTCCTCAGTTAGTAGAAAGGAAATAAAAGGAATAAAGATCAATGTTCCTCAAATCTTGTCATTGTCTATTTTTCCTTCTTAATTTCTTATAGAAACAGCAGGTTTAAAGATTACCACACACAAATACATATGGTTGCTCTCCTTTAGTTATAGCAACTTCAAATTTTAGGGACAGACTTGTCCCACTTTTTCCATGAGGCAAGAATGCTTAAGTGTAGCTGGACCCACATTTTACAACTGACAATAGAGCAGAAAGACTATAAACAAAGAACTATTCAATCAGCATCAGGCAAATATTAATGGTGAGAAACGCTACAAAATAAGAAACACTAGAAATTTTTTTTTTTTTTTACTAAAAGGATTATATGGGAAATTTTAGGTAGAAGGGAGATTTTTTAAATATCCCATGTCTTCATGCCAGACAAAAATATAAGTGAGTTCATGAAACAATCAGAAAAAAATATATAAGAATCTCCTCCATGTAATATCATGGATTAGGAATTATGGAGGGTTACACAACAGCCTTATTAAATATAATGGACATGTTTACATGCTATATATTCAAGCTCTATCTGTGTCAACAAGTGGCTGAGAATAATTAAAGACTGAAAAAACACAGTCCATTTTTATCCACTTAAGTCTTCCTTCATAAATGTCTGAGAGGTCCATGGAATAATACGTTCACTAAGTTTGTGCTCCTATACCTAAAAACATTTACTGTACAAGTCTCCTAGCACAAAGCAAAGTAACCTATAGATCTTTTCTGAGGGGCGGGAGAGAGGAGGCAGCCATTGTTTCTCTGTCTGTCTGTTTTAGACAATCCAACTAGACTCATGACTTCCTTTTGTTTCTATTTTAAGGAGGAAAAGCAACAGAAAGTCCCATTCCTGTCCCAATCCTACCCCCAACACAAATTATAACATCCTTAAATGTGCTAAAAGGAGCTATGAACTATAAAAAGATAAAGTTCAATTGCTGAGGGGTAGCCATAGTAAGCATTTTCTTACCTGATGTGGCCAATCAATTCAATAAGCTTGTGACTAAAAAAATAAGCTGTCAGCTCAGACACATGACTCAGGACTGAACAGACCCCAAAAAGGGTTGTAGTTCCATTCAGGTCTTCCAAATGCCAGTAGAGAAAGGTAAACACGAAGCCGTATCCAAAACCCATAAACCAAGCCACGAACAACACGGAGCCATACTGGACACTGCAAAGCAGTTTGATTAAGTCCCAAAAATTGAAGGTCTGCAAGTGGCTTGTGGTGGTTGGTGTCTCCTCAGAGGACTCTGTGGAGGTGTTCCTCTCCACCTGAGGGATCTCAACCTCTTTCCCTTTATCGTCGTCGTTTTTGAAGTGGTTGTACCGGAACCGGAACTGAGTAGCAACGATCAAGGCCATGGTCATAAGAACTCCAAAGACAATGAAGACGATCTGGTAGTTCCGGTACTCAGGGGGCTTACACCCCTTTCCATCGATGAGCACTTCTATGTGGGTGTAGTCGATGCCGATGCCCACGGACAGCATAGCCAGGCCCCAGCCCAGCGAGCCCCACATGCGCTGCAATCCATAGCGGTCTCTGTGTTTTCCCAGGTACTGGAGTGTTACTGTGTCTACAATCGTGACAGAAGAGGCACTGAAAAATTCTCCTATGATGACAACTACCAAGATCACTAAGAATATAGCTTCAACTTCTTGTTGATCATAAACAAGAGCGACTTGGTTGGAAGGTAAAGATTTGGTGGTAGTGACCATAACAGTGGTTGTCTCCCTGGTTACATTTCCTGGGGGGGCAGAGGTTGCTATGCTTGGGTTCAATGTCAAGTCCATAATATGGTCAGTAATTTCATCTGTCTGGGGCTGCAGGGTGGGTTCACTGCTCTTGTTTGGAGGTGTTGAAAAGATAAAAGCATCTGAGATATTGGGCCCTGTTTCTAACATTGATGGCCAACTGGAAGGAGGCAGGTTCCTCTTCTCACGCATTTTTGGTGATGTGGTAAGGAAAGAGATAATGGAAGAATTTGTTGGCAGGATGGTTAACAGGTGACTTGCATTGGTGGGGTGAGCTGTTGGGGGGATCTTTGGTACACATCTCAATGTAGCAGGTTTGACAAATCCAATTCCCAGGTTGAATAAAACCCAACATAAAAGAGAAAAGAGGAGGACAATTTTGCCCTTTTTAAAGCGATCTGCAACTACACCCCAAAAGGGAGCACTGCAGAATTCAATGAAGTATCGAATACCTACTAGCAGTCCACTCTGGCTTGGTGACATTCCCAGCTGTTTATAATACACAGGCAAAAGCGGGTAAAGAGAGCCATAGGCAGAATAAAAGAAAAAGTAAAAGACCTTGGAAATTAGAAGATCGTTGTTTATTTTAACACAATGTTTCTCTATCCAGTCTATTTCTTCCTGGGGAACAGCAGATGTTTCTGTGGAGGAGGGTGTTTCATTTGAAGGTGGTTCTGGTTCCCTGGAAATGCCATTAAAGGGATCAGCAAGCACATATTTTCTCTTCTGTTCCTCTTCATCATCAGTTAAGATAGCAACTTTATCGTCTGCCGCCATGGCTTACCACCAGCATCAGAAAGTTTATGAGCTTCAAAGTGTTGATTATTGATCTGTAAAGTAAAAATTAAAAGATGGCTTAGTAATGAAAATCATAACATGTAAACATAGAACCTCAGGAAACTGAGGAGTTTCAAACTGCAGTGAAAATAATAACTGTAAGAGAAAATTCACTTCATTTATCACTTGCAACCACACAATACTGGTAAAGAAAAATAGCTTTTAAAAAAATCAAATACTCTTTGTGGCCACTGACTGACTAATTACATCTTCCAATGGCAGGTGTATAGCTCAGATTCATTCTCAATCTTTTTATTGATTCCCAGGGAAAATTTACAAATGATAGGGATTATGTCTAAACCAAATATAGAGAGTTGAAAATAAACACTCTTCATAGATCCTGGTAGTTCTTCATAGTTCTTGGTTTTACTAGTCAAACAAGTCCACTGCATGATGAAGTCTAGAATTCTTTAGGAAATAAAGGTACCTAAAACCATTCAGCTTACAGGGACAAATAGGTTGTGTTTAACCACAACCACAAATATAGTGAGAAAGAAGGAGCCAACTACACTTTGCAACTGGAGTTGATCACTAAAGCCATGACAAAAACAACCTGGTAAGGAAGCGGTCTTCACATTGCTTATAGGACGTGCAATTCTCCAAATGTGCTTTTATGTATTACATCATAAGAAAATGCCAGAAAACAATAGCAGATAATATTTATCAAGCACTTACTCTGTGCCAGGTAACATTTAAAGATCTTTACATATATTAACTCATATTCATCAAAATATCCCTATTATCTTGTCCATTTTACAGATAAGAAAAGTGAGGTAATGGCAAGTTTAATAAGTGGTAGAGCCAAGATTTGAGCCCTTATACTATAGCTTCAGGATATATGCTCTAATATAATACAACAAAATGCCAAATACCACATTTTGGATAATAAAATGCTACTAAATCTTTTTAAGAGACAGTGTTGTACATGAGAAATTAGCAATATATCAATAGTATAAATTTATAGGAACTGTGCCAAATTCCATCAAAACTTCCCTTTCTTCTATTATACAAATGATTAGAGAGTCAAAAGGTCTTGCTTGAATCAAAATTTATAATGCTGAGTTGCAATAAACATATTCTGATGGTAGGAGGTGTACATATTAAATATTTGTTAATTCCTTTCACTTTCTCCACCGGAGAGAAAAATCAATTTCATTTGCCACCATCTGGAATAGATCTTGCTCTCCCTTTTCCCAAAATGAAGAATAACATTTTGAAAATCTTCCAAATCATGTTTGTATATATATTTTAATCTCTACAAAGCTCCTAGGCAGACAATAGAAAAACAACTTAACAAGGCCTATGTAATTTTTATCCCCAAAAGCCAGGTGTCAATGTAGCTATAAGCCTTAAAAATGTTCACATTTTGGCTTTTTTTAGGTTAAATATTTTAAAAAATTTTTTTAATTCAGGTAAAACTCACATATCATAAAATTAACCATTTTAAAGTGAACAATTCAGTGGCATTTAGTATATTCACAATGTTGCACAGCTACCACCTCTATCTAGTTCCCAAATCATGTTTTTCTTAATGGTAAAAGGAATACATTTCCCCCCCCAGAAAACGTAAAGGAAAAGGAAAAGCAAAATCCAATCTTTTGCTTTCTAGCTTTGAAAGACTTTCTTCAACTTTCTATTTTTATTATATTTATTCTATACTTATTTTTTCTTCATCATTAATGCCTTCACCTATCCAACTCAGCAGCTCCAATTCCATTTCATCACCTGAAAAGAACAAAGAAAATAAGTCCTAAGGGGGATTATAAGTTGATTTAATTCCTGAGCTCAAAACTGAAAGAAATATTTGTGGTTTAAAATGTATAAAACTGTATGGTACTTCTGGGTAAAAAGGGCAGATTGAACACATCTAGTTTGAATCCTTCCATAAACCCCCCTAAAATGACAATAAGCACGCGTACACATACATGCATGTACACACACTTTTAAAGCTAGGAAGAGTGCACATAATAGCAATAAGATAAAATTCTGGAAGCTGAAAAGTAGTTAAGACAGTTGGTATATGACTCAGTATATCTAAGAAAAGTGAAACCATGGTTGACAGTAGGAAAAGCCAACAATGAATACAATTTACTACTCCAAATCCCTCAAAAAGCTCATGATTTGGCCATATTAGGCTTATCTGCAAGTAAGTACGTGGGAAGGGTGCTGCTAAGGTAGAGCTGATTGAAAGTCTGAACCACAACTCGAAATATCCACTTCTCCACTTCACATTGCTGGCCAAACAACTATAGGTTTTTCCCCCTAAAGAGAATAAAATAGAGATTCTCTGACCATAGAGCACCAGGTACAGTTGACAATAGCAGTTATCTTGCTGAAAACAGGGCATCGAGTGAACATACGCATTTGGATTTTGAGCCCTGGCACTGCCCCTAGCCCCGACTCCTACTTCCCTCATTAGGTTCCCAGAGACTGGCAAGACTTTCATCCTCCGGGCAGGAAACTGAAAGGCTCTTCTTTAGAGATTTTGATTAGCTCAACAGGAATGACCTCTAGATGTTGATACTTAAGCCTCCCAACCAAGTCACCCTATGAGGAAGTTCAGAGTTATCAAACTCTTCTACTAAATGTAGTTACCAAAGGTTATAAGACATTTGAGGAAAGTCTGTTACATGAATGACAGAACCAAACAAAACAGGAAAAAACAAATCAACATGGACATAAAACCAAATCCATGTGAGAAGGAAAATATTTTTTAAATACAGTATTAATATCTTCATAAGCAGAAGAAAAAATGCAACTATGAAACAGAAACAGGATAGTATGTATTTTTAAAGCAGAAGGATGGGACAGATAAAAGGCAAGCTCTACTGGAAAACAGCTCTGGAAATTATAAGTATTATAGCATAAAGAAAAAATTAAGAGATGATATTAAAGAAAAATTTGAGGCAACATCTTAAGAAGAAAAAGAACAGTAAACAGATACTGGTACCTCATGTCATACACAAAAATCAATTCCAGATAGACTGTAGACCTAAAAGTAAAACATAAAATAACTTAGCTTTTATGAAGAAGAAAACATAGAAAAATATCTTAAAGACTGAGAGACAGAAAAAGATTTATTAAATAGGACACAAAGAATACTAAACATTAAAGAAGGAAAAATAGTAAATTGGACTACATTGATGTTAAGAATGTCTGTCCATAAAAAGCCAACATTAAATATTGAAACGGCAAGTCAAAGAGTGGGAGAAGCTACTTTGGTGAGAATGAGTGTGTATACCTGACAAAAGAATGTATCCAGATATATAAAGAATTCTCCTTAAAAAATCAATTAAAAAAATCAATATGAAAATGTCAGATAACCCAATGGGAAAAATGAGCAAAAGACTTGAACAAGCACTTCACAAAAGAGCTTATGCAAATGGTCAACAAATTTATTAAAAGATGCTCAACTTCATTAACCACAAGTGGAAGCAAGTTAAAACTAGCATGCAATCATGCAGCATACTCCAAATATGGCTAAGATAAAAAAGACAGATAATACCGAACGATGAGGATGTGGACAACTGGAACTCTCATGGATTGCTGGTGGGACTGTAAATTAATACACTACTTTGAAAACTGTTTGGGAACAGCTACTAAACTTGAATGTATGACCTCTGACAACTCCTATATATGTATCAAATAGGAATATACTCACCAAAAGATATCTACAAAAATGTGCACAGCAGAACAATTTTAATAGCTCAAAACTGGGAGTAACCTGTCTATAGGAGATACACAAATTATAATGTATCTCTTCAATGAAATACAGCAGTAAATATGAACAAACTACAACTACATGCAATGACAAGGAAAATCTCACAAACATAGTATGGACTGAAAGAAGCAAGAAACAAAAAGATCATATACCATATGATTCCATTTATGGAAAAAAATAAGTAGGCAAAACTAATTTATGGTATTAAAAGTCAGGGTGGACTTCTTTTCTAGGAAGATGAAGTAGACATAGTTTTCCCTATTGCTTCTGCTAAGTACAACTAAAATTCCTGGGCAACATATATAAAATAAACATAGAGGACTCTGAAAGGTAGACAGAAGACAACAGACCAGCTAGGGACCTTGGCAGCCAAGGAACAACAGAGGGATGAGTGAAGCCAAAGAACCTGGAAATACCAATAGTAGCACATGGGTGCAAATAAAAAAGCCTCAACAAGCCAAAGGACCAGGAAAGGGGCAGCCTAGAAAGACAAAAAACATTATTTTTTATTATTTATTTATTTATTTAACATTTACTTGTACAGTTTTGGGGCTACAGTGTGTTACTTCAATACATGCACATACTGTACAATAATTCTCTTAGGGTAGATATCATAGTTTTGTACCCATTAGAAAAATAACTGTGGCCCTATTCCCACCCCCACCAGCAAACGCTGAGTGGGGAGCCTAGACTTCCACCCTCGCCAGGCTATAATGGGACACCCCAACCCCTCAGCTGAGGTGGTGTCAGAGAAGGTGAAAAAGGGAGCTGGGACTTTTATCCCTGCTATGCAGTAATGAGGTCACAGTATTAGTGGAGACCACATGGGGATCCTGGACTGCCATCTTACCCATCAGTAACAAGGTATCCTTACCTTTTATCATTAGGGTGGTGTCAGGGGAGATATAGTAGAGAATCAGAACTTTAACCACTTCCCAGCAGTAAGGAGGCTATTCCTCCCAACCCCCCTGGGTGTCAGTGAAGGTCATGATGTGGGGAGGCCTCCTGGGGAGCCAAAACACCCATCTCCACTCGCAGTAATTAAGAGCCCTCTATCCTTAGGTGTCAGTAGAGGCTGAGTGGAAATCTAGGTAGAAACCTAGATTTCTACCTCCACCTGGCAATAATGAGGAAGCATGCCCCGTTCCCTTGCCAGAGTAGTTTCAGAAAAAGTCAGTTTAAACAGAAGGTGTAAATCAGATCCACTGTCTCATAACCTAATAACCAAAATGTCCAGGTTTCAATCAAAAATCATGCAAACCAAGAACC